CTGCTCCAGTCTTCCTCTGTGTGGAGAGACTGGGGTGTCTCAGCGGCGCCCCCTGCTTCACTGGCAGGAGTTCTCTGGTGAAGGCCGGGAGAGAGGAGAAACTGGAGGGCGTGTGACTGGGGGAAGCTGGAGGCTGCAGGTTCTGTTCAGTGTCCAGGGTCCAGTGTCTCTGAGGAGCGCGGCTCTCCTGGCGCTGACCCGGAGAGGCCCGGGGGCCTGGGGCTGTCCTCACGGCGCTGTGATGTTATGTCGCAGGTCGGCTGTGGAGGCGTACAGGGGCCGAGTGGTCACCCTGCCTGTCTACTAGCGGCTATAAAGCCCAGTGGATATAGTTGATTGTTTCTTCTCACTACAAGAAAATCGATGGCAACTATAGGGGACAGTGAAGCAGCTGGAGGGGAGGTGGAAAGGGAGCTGGAGAGAGAGTGAGACTCCGGAGGAGGAGCTGGGGTCCTGCCCGGCCGCCAGGAGAGGAAGGGGCGAGCTGACGCCGGAGGAGCTCCAGACCGACATCTGCAACATGATGGCACAGGGCCTGGCTGAGCTGCAGGACACGATTCCATTTAACACAGTCCGAACCGAAGGGCTTGGGAAGTCCATGGACTGTGCGTTCAAAGAGGTTGAGGACTCCAAGAGTGAAGTAAAAGCTCTTAAACAAGTAAATACCGAACGAGATAAACTTCTTAAGGAACTTGAATTGAAAGTGAACGATGTAGATAGATACCGTCGACGATGGCCAGTCTCGCCCCCAGAGAGAGCCCTCCAGCCTCAGTGGTGACCTCAGCGGTGGGCCTGGAGACCCGTCGTGTGTCTCAGCTGCTCTGACTCCTCTGGAGCTGCAGTAGGGAGAGACTCTGGCCTGGCTGTCCTTGTGCTGTGACGAGGGGGAGGACAGATGCTGGTGTCTTCTGTAAGAGCTGACAAACTCCACCCTGACTGGCCTGAGACAGATAGGGGATCGGCTTTAACCACAGGGCTGGGCAGCTTGTTCCACACCCCCACCCC